AGGAAAAATTTGTGTTTTCACTTATTTAATCCTTAAAAAAAATAAAAAGAAAGATATTTTTTATGATAAAATATATAATTAAAATCATGAAATAATAATAAGGTCATAGTAAGAACAAATATTTATCTTTTTTAAAATATAAAATAATTATAATTATTTTGAAGTAAATTTTAAATAAAAATACTTATTTATTTTTTTGATATATCAGAAACTCAATTACTTAATAATTCAAAATTTTATAATTTTAATCTTAAATCTAAAGAAAAATTTTTTAATTAAAAAATTTTAATTTAACTAAATTTTTATTGATAAAATATTTATTACTCTATCAACGAGTATCATTTTTTATTTTCAAACTGGAGTGGAGACTGGATTACTGGAAGCAGTGGATGTTGAGCGTTGGGATTGCAGTATTCCCTGGCTAGAAGTGGTCCAAGCTTCAATAATGTCATGAAACAAAATAAATGCAAGAAATGATATGAGAGGATTAGGATATATATTCTTCTTCCAGGAGCTAGTATAATTTATACATTAAAATATTTTTTAAGTCAATTTGTAAAAAAATGTAGAAATATTAATGATATGTAAGTGCCTTGTACTCTTTCGGTCTGTTTTTAATAATTTAATTTAATTTTTATTTTTTATATGAATTTTATATAAAAATTTAATATATATATAAATAATAATTAAAATTTATTTTGAATCAAAAAAATTATTTTATAAGAATTTTATATAAAAAAATTTAATTATTTTTTTTATATATTATTAAATTTTTATTTAAAATTTATATTTAAAAAATTAAATATCAAATTAGAACTATTAAAAATAAATAGAAAAAATAGTAATTTTTATATATTTTTTATAAGATTAGCCTAAAAATTTATTTACATTTCTTAAGTACTTCATCTGTTTTAAAATAGTTGTTATTTTTTTAATTTTGAATTTATCTTAAATTAAGTATATTGTTATTTTAATTTTTGTCTAAGATTAATTGTATTTTTTAGTTTTTTATTTTAAAAATAGACAAATATTAATCATCCTATTAAAAAATTTCTATTTTTTAGGATATTATATTTAAACACAAAAAAATGTCTCTAAATCTTTAAGACTGAGAAAATAATACTAACTATCAATTTCTTCCAAGCTTTTATAAATGTTTTATTTAGCTCAAAGCTATCAATTTCTATGTATTTTGAGATTTATTTCTTTTGAATTTGGTTAAATACCAAAATCATTCATGGTAGTACGAAAAAATTTATAAAAAAAAATTACCTCTTTATTACTTTGTTAAAAAATCAAACTTTGATCATCAACAAACCCCTATAACCAACTAAATTACCACTTGATAAATTTTAAAATATAAATTTAAATTAACATTAATTTCTCAGGTAACTCACGTCCATCAGAATTTAAAGACATGCTGGGTGAGGTAAGAGTGTGAAACTGCTGACAAGGCATTGATATAGCAAAAGGAAGATAAATTCTAACGGATGCGAGGCATGTGTAAACCTTTTTTTTTTCTTTTTTCTTTTTTTAAAAATAGAGATTTTATTAAAAGGTAAAAAGGTAAAAGGTGATTATAGTTATGTTTAGGGTGCTTTTTTACGATGTTTTTTCACATACTACCTCATAAAAATGTTAATTTATTATAATTAAATTAATTTTAAATAAT